CTCCTATGAAGACAGGCTGAGAGAGCTGGGGTTGTTCAGCCTGGAGAAAAGAAGGCTCCAGTACCAGAAGGGGGCCTACAAGAAAGCTGGAGAGGGACTTTTTACAAGGGGATGTAGTGATAGGACAAGGGGTAATGGCTTTAAACTGAAAGAGGGTAAATTTAGATTAGCTATAAGGAAGAAACTCTTCGCTATGAGGGTGATGAGGCACTGGAACAGGTTGCCCCGAGAAGTTGTGGATGCCCCATCCCTGGAAGTGTTCAAGGTTGGGTTGGATGGGCCTTTGAGCAACCTGGTCTAGTGGACGGTGTCCCCGCCCATGGCTGGGGGGCTGGAACTAGATGATCTTTAAGGTCCCTTCCAACCCAAACCATTCTATGGTTCTATTTCTATAAGGAATTTACAACAGTCTGCATGGGGATTAGTAGCTATCCAGCCCTGCTCTTCTGTGGGAAAGAGTAGAGGGTTGGAGAAGAATCTGCAGCTCTTGACTTTCTTGCAGCTGTTCTCAGCAGGAGAAAGCTGATAAACCAATGGGTACTATCAACTGTGGATACTGCCTTCCAGAGAATGCATACTGCCTAGTACTGATGACGATCATATAGCTGAAGGAAGTGAAATGTCTTGCTACCACCCCCGGGGACACAAGTCCACCAGACAGGTTTAAGGAAAATGCAACTTATAAGGAGCAGTTTTTGCTTGGGATCAGTGAATCAATTCCTCGTAGCTGTACATTTCTTGTGATAAGAAAAAACAAAAAACCAGCAAGCTTTAGACATGAGCTTTTGTAGTTTTGGAGAGTATTTAAGTACCTTGCACATAAGGAACAGACAGAGTGTAATATACAACGCTAATCCTAAGGTGGCCTCATTTGAAAGGTGGGGGAGATACTGTCCTATACAGTGTCGAAGATCCTTATGAAAATACTAGGGAATTTTTAAATTATTTTCTTTTAAAGAAGAGATAGATTGGCCTGTGAGAAAGAAGAACATTGCAAACAAATAAACACAGAGGTCTTAATATTGAAACTTGCAAGGGATGGAGAGTGCAAGAATAACACCACAATTACCTTTCTGGAGAAGGTTCACAGGAGGACTTAGTTACAGCTTTGTTGAGGACTTAGTTAAAGCTTTGTCCTCACAATAAGGAATGAATAATATTATCTTCAACTTGGCTACTTACCTGCTTCAGTTGTTCAAGCCTGTCATCATCTTCTAGGAAGAAAGTCAGGTACATAAAAGACACGTCAACATCACAGTTACCTCCGTACTTCCTGTGCTCTTCAATAGTATCTCTGCCTCCTGAGAAGGCATGCTTGTTAATCTGAAACAACATAATGATGTTATGGTATAATTTCTACTAAATTCTGGATTATTATACTGTAAACAGAGGTGTATCATGATCCTCAAAATTCTATATTAAGGACTAGCTGAAGGGTGAGTGGGGCGAGTTAATGCAGAGCATCAGGACTGAAGCAGGGAGGCAAAAGGAGGTCGCTAGAATCCAGCAGGGAAAAAAGGCTATACACATACTCCTCAGACTGCATAACCAGAACAAAAATGAAGCAAAAAGTAAAAATAATCACCCAAGATTCAGTCAAAAAAGTTTTAAGTCCCTTTTGCTGAAGCTGTTGTTTGTTGGATAGAATTTGTGCTCACAGGAAATGTACTTCATGTAAGAAAAAATAACATATTCACTTCATCAAGAAATTAATTTTGAAAGAGTTGAAGAAGGCATGGAGAATTTTGAAGAAATCCTAGAGACAACCTAGTCTCCTCCTCTTTTCAGGGAAAAGGAAAACAAGAGAAAGCAAAGTTAAAGATCACAAAACTCTGGCTAAAATGGCTGAAATTAGACAAATGCCCAATTGTTCAGTCTAAACATGGAATACTTGCTGAATCTCCCCTGCTCTTTTTAAGCATAGCTTCCTATAGGCAGATGAACTGCACTGGTGAATAGATCTACCTGCTAATCCTATTCCCAGTAAATTCAGAAGCCACCGACGTATTTTAAAAATTTATACATGTGTAGAATTCTCAGAGGATGCTAATCTTCCTACAGATTTAAAGAAAGTAAATTGCCAGGAAGAGGAAAAAAAGTATTTCTCAACCATAAGCTGAGCTTTCATTTGGCTCTTTTATCTTTTCAGATATCATCATCAACCAGCCAAGAGACACACATGCATATGAAGTAGATTTTTTTTTAAGTTCCGGTATCTAGGAACTGTTATATATGTACAATTTCTGAACATTCTTACTATCTGTACAACTGTCTAGTGCTTTTTTGAATCTTTCTAACCACCATGTTACAGATGATGTCTTGTGGCAACAAATTACACACAAAAATGATGCACTGATGAATATCTTAAGAAAATAGACTGCCATCTGTCACATTATATCTATTCTTATATTGTAGGACAGCCTGAATAGCTGTCTTTTACATATTGTTTGTATTTTACATATTGTTTTGCACTTCCCCTCACCTCTCTCCTTACTAGATTTTGAAAGTCTTTGTATGAAATTTTTTCTATGTCCCTCATCTCTACAGTTTGTCTTCTTACTAAGCTGAGAGGGATTAAATACAATATGCCAGGTGAAGGCACATTATTGTTTTATACAAAATGTTTCCTATATTAATCTCAAGTTCATTTTATATATTCTGGCACCTACTCATTGACTGAGGGTCTCAATGATTTATCTATCGCGATGCACTGATCTTTTCCCTGAATTAATACAGACTTAGAATCTAAATAACAGTTTCTAAGAAAACAAACAAAGAATTGAGCTGTAATTTGGTGATGATAAGTGAAATAAGAATAGTTTATTATGTTGCCATTCATCTTCTTGGATTTCCCAGAAGCTTCTCAGCCTTTCCCAGTATCTAGTAATTTTTCATCTTCTATTACCTGTAAGTTTTGAACTTCATTACTTAGTAAAGTACTAGTGATCTGAAAAATGCAGTAAGCAGTAATTTTTTTTGTGCAGCACGGGCACTCTCTTTTTAACCTTTATCCATCACCAGAAGCCACCTTTCCTACTCTGTTTTTTTATTTATTGGCCACAACAATATTTAGTCTTTCACTCAAGCTCTATTTCCATAAAAACTTGTTTCTGATGGGCTTCAGAAGCTGAAATAAATCTCAATTTGTCCTCCATTACTCAACACTTCACGTTCTATTCAGAATTTTCTCTTTATAGCTTTTCTATTCCAAGTAGCTAGAATTATTTTGTTATTTTTCCAACTAGTTTAAAGAAAGCAGAAATAGGACTTATGTCCTGGTTTTGGCTGGGATAAAGTTAATTTTCTTCATAGTAGCAGGTTTAGTGCTGTGTTTTGGATTTAGGATGAGAATAATGTTGATAACACACTGATGTTTTAGTTGTTGCTGAGCAGAGCTGACACTAAGTCAAAGCCTTTTCTGCTTCTCATCCCACCCCACCAGCAAGTAGGCTGGGGGTGCAAAAGAAGTTGGGATGGCACACAGCTGGGACAGCTGACCCCAACTGACCAAAGGGATATTCCGTACCATATGTTGTTATGCACAGCATATAAAGCTGGGGGAAGAAGAAGGAAAGGGGGGACGTTTGGAATTACAGCGTTTGTCTTCCCAAGTAACCATTACGTGTGATGGAGCCCTGCTTTCCTGAAGATGGCTGAACACCTGCCTGCTGATGGGAAGGAGTGAATTAATTCCTTGTTTTGCTTTGCTTGCGTGCATGGCTGTTGCATTACTTAAACTGTCTTTATCTCAACCCACGAGTTTTCTCACTTCTACTCTTCTGATTCTCTCCCCCATCCCACCGGGGGGAGTGAGCGAGTGGCTGTGTGGTGCTTCGTTGCCGGCTGGGGTTAAACCACGGCAACTTATTAACTGGACATAAGGCATCTTGGATCTCTTCGCAGATTACTAGCTACTTGCCAGGAAAAAAATGGAAGAATGTTACCAACATTGCCACTAATCATATAACCTCTATTCTGAAATTATAGGCTTTTTTAAAAAGCAACTGTGTAACTGTGCAAATAAACTGGAATTACTATAATCCAACACATGAAGAATTCCAATTCTTCAAAACAGTACTGTTTAATCAGTTTCTACATAAGATAATGAATGGTTACGAGATGGCTGCAGAAGAATCTGACCTATACGTGGGTTTGTCAACCATAAGAGAATTAATCGAAGCCCACCCAGCAGAACTAACATATACACCTTTTTTCTTGTTGTGACAGATAAGTTATTTCATGTCTGGTTATCATGCCTATAAATCCTTTTCCAAAGACTGATTTTTATTTATTTTTTTAAATACCACAACACAGGTGAACTTTTGCCAAAATATATCATCTGACACTGGATAAGAGGGATTTTCCTTTGACCTAGAAGGGGCACTAGGAATATACTCAGATAGGAGAAAATACCTTCTAAAACTTAGGTGAAATTCAACATAATATTTATTTGTGAATTGGAGGGAGGAGGGCATGGCAGCAGCAGATCTCCAAGCAACAGCAAAAGTCTGACCTGTGTTGTAACTGACACTGTGCAACGCTTGGTGCTCCCAGCATGGAGAGGCAGTCAGGAGAAAGAGCTGTTTATTTGATTTACATCATGGACTGTCAAATTTCAAAACTATGGCAACATAATATTTATTTTTAGAGCATGAGCCTCCACAGCTCTTATTCTTACACCACTGCTCTGCACATATCAGATAAACAAACATGGTGTTTTGTACATTATTCTAGCTAATGTTTGTACTGTTAGACTAGTTGGCAAGGTAAAAGATTATATTTGATAGTCTAGCTAAATTTGCATAACTCGGTCAATTCCTGAAGACGCTTTGCCATGAAATGTATGGGAAAAAGGATTCAGATATGTTCAAAGAAAACATGAAAAAATTGCCATTGTAACCGTGAGGACCACCACTCCTTTTTGTTATAAAGCTTTGCACTCGCAGGTTTTGCAGGTCCTTACCTTTGTCTTGATTTGTTTGGGTGTATCAGTGAGGAAGATGGAGGAGTTCGGGTCACTAGCACTCATTTTTGTCTGTGCTCCTTGCAGGGCTGGGAAGAAGACTGAGTGCAGTAAGGCTGGTTTAGGCTGTCCAATTCTAGGTGCTACATCCCGGGTCATTCTAAAATAAGGATCCTAGAACAACCATCAATAAAAGCACAGAATAAAGATGAAAAATGTGATTTAAAAGCTGATTAGTGCTGACTCGTTCATGCCTTAACAGGTTGTCTCAGGAAAAAACCAACTAACCAAACTACAAAATGTTCCAGAACCTGCTTCCAATCCAGTACATCCAGAGCAACAAACAAACAAAATCCCTTTTTTTTATTTCCATAGTTTTGCTGTACACTCTGATTCCCTCAATTAATAGGCATATTTACAAAGATTTACATGAATACAAATAGTTGTGAAAACTATGCTTAGTACGCCTGGAGACAGAATGCAGACTAAGACGCAAGCTTCCTCCCAAAGTGTTTAACAACCAGCACAGAATCTGAACTAAATCAGTGATCAAGCTGGCAGTGCTGTGCTGATGATTTGACTTAAACCAACTGTGACAATATTACTACATAACATTGTGGCTGATGAATATAATTACATCATCTTCCAGTGACTGTCCCTGTGACTATAATAGCTAAAGATTCAGACAGTGCAGAATTTGATTCCTAGAAACAACACTTATTTAAAGTAATGATGCTACCATTGTCATTTGTAGTCGATGTTCTTCCAACCTCTCTATATAGATCTGAATTGTTAAGGTTCTTTTTTTGCCTTTCTGGCAAACTATTTCAATGCTTCTTTATTCATACTGATAGAAGGTTTTTCCCTATGGTTCAACGTAAATCTCTTATGCTGCAAGTTAAGCTCATTACATCTTGTCCTAGTTACCATGGAAATGGCCAAAGGTTTTTTCCTACCCCCATGTTAGTATACTTTTGCATAGATTTTACTGTCTTTGCTTTCATAGATGTCAGCTCACTGAACCGCACTGAGATCAAGACAGATCCAAGACTGGCAAGAATGAGTAATGCACGAGTACATGATTGTTGGGTTAAGCCTTCATCTTTGTCAGGACACAGCACAACATCTTTTTATCTCTTCCAGCTTCTGCCCCAGAAAGGTGCTTGCAGGAATGTTTACAGATGTTTCGATATTCCACCATGAAGCTTGAATGGTACATTACAAAAACAAATCCATGAAAACCAAATTAAGTGATATGATTTTCTTACCTGATCGATAGCACATGGGATAAGACACTGAATGTTCTCCTTGCCATTGAAGATCTGTGGAAATGATGAACTGAAGGATGGAGCAGCTTGAATAGCAGGAAAGCTGATCTTTCCTAGAAAACAACATGTTTGGAAAAGCTAAGAAGCCAATATAAGCAATGATAAATAGAACTTTTTGAAATATGTAAAATGCACAAGTGAATCATTCAGATACTCAGCTGAAGACCAACATCTATCTTTATCAAGCAGTGTTGCCTTATCTGAGGAAACTTTTTCATCTTTACCTTCCATGATGTCAACAAACCTTCAACTAACATAGAAACTAATGAAAAAAGGCAGGCTGTGATCAGAAAAGGTTCATCAGTACATATTCTCTTTATCATTGAACTACCTACCCTTCCCAGAAATACAATTGACTGTATCATCACTCTGAGCTGCTAATTTTTTTTCCTCTTTGTGAGAGAATGACTATAGAGCTACTTATCAGGCAAGTTCCCCTCTAAGATCTTAGAATCATTGCTATATGCATGCTGTACTCGTGAAGCATCTCAGATGTGTCTAGTTTTCTTTTTTATACAGTGCTTAATCACAGGGTGACCAACCTGCTTCCCTGATCAAAATCCTTTCAGAACAGAAAGCAAATAGCAGATTTTTCCAAACATGTAATGAAGTCATTATCACAATACCAACTTTTATTAGAGCACTGTTAAAACAAGGAGGAATCTGTTCCTTGGTTGCAGTGAAGGCTGAAAAGCTGTCACTGGCCCAATTACTGGTCAAAGAATGATGTTAGTGCTCAGGAACACCAAGGTGTTAATGCCATCTTTGACACAGAATCTTTTTTTGGCCAATGTGATAGAAACCTGCAATCGCAGTGAAGTAAATGGAAGACAGTTACCCAGCACCTTGATAATTAGGCTTTTGAGCATTCCTTAATTTTTTTCATATATGTATATGTGTGTGTGTATTAATATAACCTTTTCTGAAGAGAAAACCTTCTATATAAATTTGGCATAGACATTTCTAGCAGGCATAATTGACTATAGCTGCAATCACTATTAAAAAAAAAAAAAAAGAATAGTTCTCTATCCTGGGCACTTCAGCATTGGTGTTTTGTACTTTGCTGTTACTAAGGCCAAAAAGGTAGATACCATGCTAGAAATTTCACTGTAAAGTGTTTTCTATACTGAAGGAACCACAATAATACCCTCTTAGAATCAGCCTAGAAACATGGATCTTCTTGCTTTTTCTATCCGTTTCATGAATGGCAGATACTAATCTCTTTAAATTATTACTTAAATAGTGCCATAGAGAGTGAAAGCAAGCATCGCTTCCAGTAACTCATATTATTTCCTACCAATGCAATCACTGTCTGTAAAGCCAAAGATTCCTTTCACTTGGTTAAATGTAACATGCTTCTGAACTTTGACGATGTTTTTGTAGAATCCGGTACTTGTCCTGTGAGAAAGAAAATGGAAAAATAAAATGAGAAGAGCAGAAAAGTGTAGGTAGAAACTTTCACTCCAAATGCTGAGAATGTCAAAAAACCTGCAGGATTAAATCTCACTGTTCAAACTTTTTGTGGGCCATTGAGATGATAATTACAGAATTACTTACGAACAAGAATTTTATGCCTTGAAAGTTTAATTTATTCTTCCCTCCCCCCAACATTTACTGCAAACATTTTTTGTCACAATTAACTGTCTAAACCCAGAAATATTTTGATTTGGAAATGGTGCCCAAATGCCTCACGGAGCCTGAAGTTTACTTATCCTTATGCTTCTCTGTGAATTCAGGCAACCTGAATGGATCATGTCTTCCATGTTTCTTGGTACCCCCAGTGCGTATTCCATACAGGACACTACGGTTCACCAAAGGAATAGTAGCTCAAATCCTCCAAATTCTCATTTTCTACAGGCTAAGTTCCCTGGTTGGACTTTCTCTGTCACCAAATACAGCAGCAGCATTTCCAAATCAAAAATAGCTCAGCAACTTCCTTTTTTATTTCTGCTGAAGAGCTGAAGCAAAAGAAACAGCAGTTCTGACCTGCCCTTGTTCAGCCACAGGGCAGATCTGTGGTAATGCAACTTTTCTAAGGCAGGAACGTCAGGGGAGTGAAAAGAGGAAAAACTGCTTTCTAGGCTCCACATTCTGGGGGCTGTACGTTATACAGCTCGACTCTAAAACATATATTCTCTTATCCAAGCCTTTAAGGAAGCTCATCACCCCACATGGAAGAACAAAGCCCACAACTTCAGTTCTGAACTCTGCCATAAAAGTTCTTCCTTCTGAGAATGCAGTTCCAATAGCAGTTTCTTTTTCTTAAATCTTCTTTAAACTTTCCTCAAAGTTCAAATAATAATCTTTCATGCTGTATTATTAAGTTAATTGACCACAACAAGTTACTGAAATGCCTTTTATTAATGCAGATAAAGTGTAAACACATCTCAAAGATTTTGATACCATCTTAAACAAATCAATCTGGAGGTTTCTTGGTGGCTTAGGTATTTTTACAATTTAGATGGTTTAATATATTTTTCATAATTTAAATTTAAGCATTGCACACACAAGTATTTGTTCATACGTTATACAGAAGAATGACAATAGTATATATACAAAATGTTAGCAGAAAAATTAATAAGTTTCTATTTTAAGTGTTGTAAAACTTGTTTTGAAGCTTTCAAATTTAGATACATTTATTAAAACATTGCTGGCTGTCAAAGTTGGAGAGAAAATACAGACACTTTTTTTTCATTACAATGCCCTAAAGAAATTTATACTTACCCCAAATAGTCTAAATCAGAAAATATAAAGGTTTTATTGATGTCAAAACCACAGGCAATGATGTCTTTTGCATTTTCTCTAGCATACTCATACGCCTTCTCAGTTGTCAGGTCCTTCCAAAGGTATTTCTCATCATCAGTTAACTGTACAACTAAGGGAACATCAAATACTTCTTGCAGCCACCTAATAAAAGCAGAAACATTTTATCTCAAAGTAAGTTAAAATGAAGACTAAGACACGCAGCTAAAATATTTTTTATACATTTAAACAAAAGGATATAAAGAGGTCTGCTTCTCTTTTCTTTGTATGCATATGCAGTTATGTTTATGTGAACAGAAGTAAACATTTTATACAGATTATAATGACAACTTAACTGGAAAAAAGACACACTTACTGTTTCCTGTACATATGATAGCAGTCACCATTTGCAATGGAAATAGAATTCAAAGAGACCTTTTAGCTCTTTGAGTCCAGTTTCTCTGTGTCCTGCTGCTGCAGGCACCGCATTATACAGTCATGTTACCGAGTCTCATCACAAACTAATTTTTAAGAACAACAACAATTCTAAAGAGTGCCACAGGGCTGAGGGTGCAAGGAAGAGGGCTTTATGGTGATGCAGGGATTATGATCATTTTAATGAAAAGGTAAGATTGCATTGTTTAAGTTCATTAATATTCACCTCAGATAAACAGAACTCCTTGCAATGTATCATTTCGGTAGTTCCATAAACAGCATTCAACATTTCCTTAGAAAAAAATGTTTTGATTAATACAAATGGTAGAAATAACTTACTTTGTGAATATAAATGGGATAAGATGACCAACATGCATTGCCTGAGAGGACGGCCCTCTGCCTGTATAAAGGTAAAAGGACTTCTTATTTTCATAAGCATTAAGGATTTGGTCCATATCTCTAAAGAAAAAACAGAGAAAACATGATGCAACTCTTTAAGAAGAAACATCTACAGCAAAAAGCTTCTATTCAAAATTTGAGTGCTTTTTAAAGCCAAACGTATTTATAAATAAAATAGAGTATGTTACGGGTCCTAGAAATAAAAAGGTTTTGCTTGTTTGTTTATTTAATTTAAGAAAAGTGTTGTCTCCTTCAGTCTCCATGAAAAAAAACCTCAAAGAAAAATTAAATTATGCCCTGAATCATGCTCAGGTACTTATCTGAAAAGTCATAGCTGCCATGGGTCAAAAGCCCATGCATGCTTACAATTAAACAGTGTAGATGACTGGCAGGCTGGTGCTTAAGATTATTCCCTTTTTTCTGTAACAATATATATGCATACGTCCACAGGCCATGTGGACCCTTGTTGAAATCAGCAGTGACACCATATAAGCGTGGGGTTCTTTGCTAGGCCAATTCCTCCGTCTGGCTGCTAACAAAGAGTCAAAATGGAACGTGTACAAAGCAAAGATTTCCTGCACATTTGTTCTTCAATTTGGGATTAGTGAGGACATATCAGAAAACCGAGGGTTTCAAATGTTGCCAGCGTAAACCTGCAGTAGTTGCTAATTTCAAATGACACTGTTGGTTTACCTTGGTGTAAAAGAACATGGTCCTTTGCTGGTCATAGGTTTCTCCCAATAATGTTCACAGAAAGTCTACCTAACTGGACGTTTCCAAATTTTAAAACAAGAAAAACTCACCTGTGAGAAAAAAAGATTCCTCTACGTAGAAAGCGGTGAGGTTTTTGCCCAATAGCTCTTTCTATTCGATTGATCAGATCTGTGTCAATTTTACTGCTGCCAAACCGAACTATAATAATAATAAAATGTAAAAAACAATAAATTAATAAGAATAGCATAGCTACAACCAGATCTTGGCTTTACCAAGAACATACCGATGCGGCCTAGATTAAAAAGGACATCTCTTTCTTCACATCTCAGGTAAAATGTAAAATGGCTAGATTTTCCCGATTCTTGCCTGGAGTCCCAGCAGTCGCCTCTGATACTAACCTCTATGCTAGGAGGCCCAGCCTATTCACAATCTGTAGCATTGCTCCATCTATGACTGATCATAATCGCAGTTTCCTTATAGCAGGACTACTGATGTTCAGAACAAAAAGCATTCCAAAGAAACATATTTAGGTCAATAACTTGGCCTCTGTAAGCCATAGGATAAAAATGGCTGTGAGGCTCTGAGTGTTTCTTTTGTGGCATCTAAATTTTCTGCCCTCAGATCACATGGTTTTTCACCTTCCAACCCCAAATACTCTTCTGCAAACTTCATTCTTCTTTTATATGGCTATGATTACAGACACTGCTCCCCTCAAGAGGCTTGAAAAGGTAATGCATAATACTCTTCATTGCAATCAAGTAAGACTTATCACTTGGTGGTTTAGGAAATCAGCTGATTAATAAAACAACATTTTCAGATGTAGTAATTTCATTAAAGAAAGGTTTAGACAGAGTGAAATAGCAGTGTTTTTTCCTATTCCAAATAAAACTGAACTGAGGAAATCTTTCATTTCTTCAGTAAAGCTTCCTATACTCCAATCCCAATTCTTGGACCCTAATAAGCAGGTCAATGCTCCATGATTTGGACTTGATTGAAAAAATCTAGACAAGAATCTATTCTTTGCTACTGTTCTGCTGTATTCAGCATTAGAACAACTTGCACTATTAATTATTGGGATTGGCAAAGCATTCAAGAGAACAAAACAGAGACTCTGGATGTAAAAATACATTTATATGTACGTAGTATATCCATCTATTCTGAGTTTCTTATTAAAAAGAGACTACACTGGCAAATTCCCTAGTTATAAGACACGTGTCCACATGGGATAAGCACTTAGGGTCTTCCTAGCTGTAACAGGAAATAATCATTCCACAGGAACATATGCATGACATTTGACAAATTTCAAATATCTTGAGTTTCCTGAGGAAACTAGAAACAGAAAAAATAATTTTAAACCTTTCATTATGCAGCTAGTAAACTGTAACTTATAAGACTACTATACTTCTGCCCTGTGGAAAACACCACAATCACTTTGAATACCCCACACAGAATCAGGTTTACTTTGAATTCCCTCCTTATGCATGTTCCTGCTTCTAAATCTTCAATTTTTTTAAGCCCAAAGCAAGTAACCTATTAAAAGCCTTCCTGCAGGGATACTGTAATTAACTGAAATGTCCTTCCAAAGACTACAACTTCCTACTAGAGCAGGTGAGCTTCTAATGTTACATTCTAGTGCACGGTAACGATCCTTAGCTGGACAGCATAACAGTTTACACCACTGGACAACAGAGAGAGACTGATTCCAGTTGCAGGCAGAGCTCTCTACCTGTGTGGGTTACCCAGTGTACTGCCTTGGGAATGCAACTCATTTTACAAAGAAAATTAACCCACAGGGGCAGCAAGGAATATTGAACATACTGAGGTAATTTGAAAAGCTGAATATTCAGACACCTGGGCTTATTATATTAGACTAGACTAATCAATTCCCCGAAAAAGGGAAAGGAGACACATCTTCCAAACCTTTACAGCACAGGTTTTCAAAGCACAGCAAGGAGGCTATTTTCAGTCATAGAATCATAGAACAGTTTGGGTTGGAAGGGACCTCTAAAGGTCATCTAGTCCAACCCCCCTGCCGTGGGCAGGGACAGCTTCAACTACATCAGGTTGCTCAGAGCCCCGTCCAACCTGACCTGGAATGTTTCCAGGGATGGGGCATCCACCACCTCTCT